CAATGTGCACAAAATCATGCCGGTACTTTACGTCGATATTCGCTCAGGCTATGGATATTTTTGTTTGCTATATGTCATTTTGACAACAAGTTGTCCTTATCACTATATGTCGCTGAATAAGTATGATACTTATTCAGAGCTATAAGTTATACAATCGATAGACTGTTGTCAGTCTGTTACAAAAAGGCAAAACCTGGGAAAATATTTACCATGTGAGATGCCGGTATTAGATTTTTTAGAGAATCTCTGTACTCTGTGGTTAGAATTTTTGTGAAACCCATACAAACTTAAAGTTTGTGATGCAGGCACTTCACTTAGCTTATCGTGTTTGGTATTTGTAAACTTGATATCAGTATGTCCATATACAGCATAATAAGGACAGACTGTTGTCAAGTTTAGGGACACGATATCAAATAGAAAGTATCGATACTGTACTCATGAGTAGTATCGGTAAAAAAGTATCGTACTCGTAAAAGTATCGAGTACATTTCATAGGGCCTTATCGGACCCTCTGTAGCCTGATGAGCAACCCCCCCCCCCCCCCTCGGTGTTAAAATTGAAAGAAAAACAATCGAATTTTATTATAATAAGTATAATCAAAAACAAGAAAAGGACATGTAAATTCACAAATTGCTATATTATATAATGAAAAGAAAATAGCTGTGATTTCTGACACTAAAAAAGTGTTCATTAATATTACATTCATAATTAAAATGTTAATTAAAAAGATCAAAATTTTAAACAATTTAAAAGTATGAAACTTTTCAGATTTGTTTCAAATTAAACTTACTTTTCTTGAATTTTAATCATTAAAAAAAATTATACCCACTTATGTTAACTTGAATCTGACACGTAGTTAACGGTTGCCATTGGCATGCTTCACTCAAGATTATAACTATAGAAGAGGTTACGTCCGTCTTTTTGCAGGTGGTTTCAAATAGGTATACACAGCACAGACAGAATAATAGTGTTACATTTGAATAAATCAAATACAGTCAAGCGAAAAGCACAATAAACGGCGAATCAATCACAGTTCCTAACAATATGGTCGCTAAATAAATAACTATGAAACAATACAAAGCGCAAAATAAACACAGTCACAGATTGGAATGAATTTGAATATGTCAGTTACTGACTTTATAATAACGCAATAGGTTATTTTGGCACTTTATTTTTAATACTGTCAAATGGACAGTATTAAAAATAAAGTGCCAAAATAACGAAAAAGATATAAGTTTTCTTATCTATTGTCACGTAACCCAAAACGCTTGGGATTGGCGGAGCCTAAAATGACGTCACACGCAAGTAAACTTTCGGTCAAAGTGACATTACATTGTATCGTTTGACGTTTTAATAACAGTCGTGTGACGTCACACACTAGTAAAACGCCATATTGTCCAGAGAAACATTTTCGCGGCAACTTGAAAATGGAGTTTTTGATTTGGTTATTTTTACTGAAATACACAACAGAATGATGAATATCCACTTTTTACGGACTCCATAAACATTAGTCAATAACGTGAGATCATTGCCTAAAACTTGTCAAATACCCTATGGAACGTTGTAGAAGGTTTGCTATGATTTAACAAGATGGCATTGCCATCAATATGAGGCGCTTATCCAAATTTTTAAAGGTATCGATACTTGCCAAAAAGTACTCATTTAGTAAAAGTATCGAATACAAAGTATCGAGCACAAAAGTATCGGTATCGAAAGGAAAAGTACTCGATACCACAAAGTAACGATACTTTTTTCGTGTCCCTAGTCAAGTTTAGAAATAGTAAATACGAATAGGCAACTATACGACAGTGATGCCAGAACGTCCCAAAAGGGACGATTTTCGTCCCTTTTCTCATCAAAGCGTCCCATCGATGTCCTTTTACATATTCCGTCCCTTTTCCGTCCGTTTTCGAAAACGCTTCACTGCAACATTAGACGAATGCGTTTCGTTTCACTCATTGATTTATTTCACTAAATTGCCATCACTATTCGTTTTACATTGTCAACTCTATTCGTCAAATCACCCAGTAAACTACATCGAATTCAACGCTCGCTACGAAGGTGACGTTTAATATATACCTACCTATATCTATACCAACTCAAAGCTCTAACCCAATAACCTACCATATCTTACCTAATAAAACTTTTGTTGTTAAGGTATGTTTCAGTTATGAAGATAATAGGTAACTTAAGAATAAGTGCTTGCTTTGTAGAGTCGTAAGTACGTACGGTACGTTCATACCACCATGATGTACCTATGTCCTCCGTACCATCTTCATTATGTTTATTGTGTGCCCAAAAAAATATAATTAATATGGCTCTGTTAAAATGTTTTTGAAGTGAAACTTCTTTAGGCACGCCTTGACTTGGGGGGTAAACTGGCGAATAGGGAAGATGCAATATTTCTATTTTTGTTTTCATTTTAAAGAATTCCATGTAGAATAAACCACAGATATATTAAAAAATTAAAACATTGTGATTTATCGGAAAAAATGCGGTTTTAAATTGACAATTTAAATTTTCGCGCGAAAACGAACCTATAGTTGCGATGACGTCACTGCTGTCTGTCACTAGTCGTACTTGTTCGTTGCTGGCTTTAAATTTTCATACTTTTGCATATTTTTTCGACTTTCGAAATATTTTTTTGAAAAATTTAAAATGGACTATCCATCAACATCATGTGACTCATGTTTTGTGCCAATCTACTTCAACAAAGTTCCCAAATAAATTGTTTTTGACTGGAACTTCTGACCCAAAACTGTGGTTTCAAGCTGCAAAGAAAAATGACAATTATTCTCCAAAGACCATTATTTGATGCTGAGAAGATCACTTTGACGTAAGTCGGCGAATATACTTGTATATATGCTTAATTAATCTGCTTGTACGTAAAAACGCATTAGTAACCTACCTAATACTTACAAAACCTGTCTATAACATATTTTTAATTTTACAGTTGGAGAATGACGTCGAAAATTAGATAAAGTTTAAAATGTGTGGCACAATCTTCACATTGGCAGGACTGAACCAAGCTTTGCGTTTCATTTAAAATAACCTTAACACGATAACCTTCTTTACGTACTTTATGCTCCGGGGAACTCGACCTTTTACTGTACATAATCTCTTTTAATTTGGACATAGCCGATTGCATTATCGCCGTAAGATTTGTAGAAGCCGCTGAATAAAATACGAAGTTTAACAACTACGATTTTTACATACCGTAGTAATTTAGTCCCTTTCATTTCTACACTTAAAAACTGCACTTTGGACAAAAAATGTTATAACCATGTCAACGCTAACTCTTGGTAAATTCCTGGAGTCTGCTTTGATAAACGCAACTTCCGTTTTTATTAAATGTTAAAAAAACGCAATAAATATTCCCATAAAATAATATTAACTTTAACAACCATAACCTCAAAGAAGTTGTCATAACAGGAGTGACGGCACTAAACGCTGATTGGTGTTTTAAAATACGTTCCGTTTCAAGTATTTTTAATTCATAATAATTGTTAAAAAACAACATTATGTAAAATAAAAACGTTGCAGTGGCATTTCTTTTATATTTTTTTAACATTTTAATCATAAAATTTTCATATATATTATATATGCATCTTCCCTTTTCGTGTTACGATTAGTGTCATCGGTGACTCATCGGTAAACATTGAACAATACCTGTAACAAAATACATAAATCTAGTGCTTGGCTTGGTAGGTGATAACGGACCCAGCGTGGATTGATGGATGATAACGGACCCAGCGCAGATTGGTGGGTGATAACGGACCCAGTGTGGATTGGTGTATAATAGCGGACCCAGTGCGGATTGGTGGATGATAACGAAGCCAGTGCGGGTTGGTGGGTGATAATGGACCCAGCGCGGACGGGTTGGTGATAATGGATCAAGTGCGGATTGGAGGGTTATAACGGACACAGCGCGGATTGGTCGGTGGCAATGGACCCAGTGCGGATTGGTGGGTGATAATGGACCCAGCACGGATTGGTGGATGATAGCGGACCCAGTGTGGACTGGTGGGTGACACTGGACCCAGCGCGGATTGACCGGATATGACCCTTTATATCAGCATTTGTTGCAGGTCCAGTCTTTAAAGACAAATGTACTAAACGTTTAAATTCATTATGTTCAATAATTTCCAGAAAGTATTGCATTGGATTTGACTGTTGCATCTGCAAAAACCTAAAAAACATTATGTAGGAATTAAATTTTAAGGAATTAAATTTTAAATCTGTAATAGTGGAGGAAAAAAATCACCAACATGTTATTTGTAGCACACTGCTGTAATAATCTGACAAGTTGTGAAGGAAAGTTATCAAAGTCTATAAGAAGTTATACTGGACCCAGTGTGGACTGGTGGGTGACACTGGACCCAGCGCGGATTGGTGGGTGATAACGGACCCAGTATGGATTGGTGTATAATAACAGACCCAGTGCGGATTGGTGGATGATAACGGATCCAGTGGGTGATAATGGACCCAGCGCGGATGAGTTGGTGATAATGGACCCAGTGCGGATTGGAGGGTGATAACGGACACATCGCGGATTAGTCGGTGGCAATGGACCCAGTGCGGATTGGTATGTGATAATGGACCCAGCGCGGATTGGTAGTTTTTTTCTATCAAATTTCAGATCATTGGAGCTATAGAAATTTCACTTCAGTCGTGTGTTCCTAAACACACTCGCTTTTTTTTTCATTTAACCGCATTATGATAGAACTACACTTACCTGTCGTGTTGTGTTGTAACACATCAGAGAGCTATCTCTTTCATACAATTATGGTTAAAGTGAGAACGCTGTCGAAACATCGCGACACACAGGTATAGTTCTTAGTGCTAACCTTACTAAATGTATGAAGCAGATTGCGCCACAATACAACACGTAAGATAAATATAGTTCAGCCTTTAGTTTAATATTTCTGTAAGGCCGTCCTTTTTGACTAAAAATCGTCCCTTTTCAGATTTCGAATCGTCCGAAACACGACGCAGGTACTGGCAACACTGCTATACGACGGCATGAAACTTACTAGAAAACACAACTGTCATCCGTCAGTGATATCTAATTTATATTTATTTTGCATTCTAGGAAATAAAGAAAACTTGGGGTTTAGTAAAGTATCCGTAAATTATTTAGAAGTATTTGGTTTCAAAGTCATATTTTGACTCTGCTACTGGTATAAAACCAATGAATAAAATCGCGTTTTTAGAAAAATAGGTGGAGGTACCTACCACCTACTTTACCTACCTTCTAAGTTCAGAAAAAGTACCTAATATATAATTATAAGGAGTGAGTGAGTGTGATCAAAGAATAGAGTTCAAATATGGTTTTGGCACATAATGTTAGCAATGGAGCAAGGACTCGCGACATCCAAATATCTCAAGATGTTACTTTTGATTCAATGCTACTGTCTAAAACTACTCTGCAAGGATTACATGAATCAGGTTTCTATAAACCTTCACCAGTGCAACTTCATGGTATACCTCTTGGCAAATGTGGATTTGGTGTGTTATAATTTTATTCCCTTTTACTAATTAACTGCTTGCATTATTTTCTTAGCCATATTAAACATAGTACACTTACACTGTTCTCATTTTGATTATAGATCTTCTATTGGAAGCCAAGTCTGGAACAGGGAAGACAGCTGTTTTCACTGTTATAGCATTGGAAAAGTTGGATCTTAGTAAAGGATTACAGGCTGTTATATTAGCACCTACTAGAGAAATTGCTTCTCAAATATGTGATGTCACTCGTCAAATAGGTTCCAAATATGAAGGTAAATAATAAAACCAAAAAAAAAACCTTTTGAAAAAGTTAAATTTTGTACAGCTTATGTTTAAAACCAAAAAAATCACTTGACTACTTTAAGTTTGACCATGTCTGTCATTCTCTAGAACAATTTTACAAGGTAATTTTGTAGATGGTTAAAATAATTTTTATTGTAGAAAATAATAGGAAGTATCATGTTGTTTTTTTTTATTATAGGTTTAAATGTTGCAGTTGTAATGGGAGGATTGCCTGTAGAAGAAGATATCAATAAGTTTAAAAACCAAGTACACATTGTAGTAGGGAGTCCAGGACGATTGCGCCATTTAATTCAAGATAAGCACATTGATGTATCATCTGTAAGGCTTCTTGTTCTTGATGAAGGTGACAAGTTGTTGGATAAAAGTTTTCAAGCTGATATTAATTTTATATTCTCTGTCCTACCACACCAAAAACAAGTCATTTTGAGTAGTGCTACATATACTGAAGGCACAAAATCATTCCTAAAAAAATATGTAAAAAGTGCTCAACATGTTTGTCCAGATAGCAACTGCATTTTATTAGGAATTGAACAAAAAGTTACAATTGTTAAATATAATGCTAATATTGTAAGACAGACTCAAAATAGGTTTGAGGAATTACTAAAAATATTATCAAAAAAAGCATTTAAACAGTGCTTAATATTTTGCAACTATCAAGCTAGAGTAACAGAATTACACAAGTTACTTATGAAGCATAAATGGCCTGTAGAGCAGTTATATGGACAACAAGAACAAACAGACCGCTTAGGAGCATTAAAAACCCTCCAAGATTACAAATGCAGGATACTTATTGCTACTGATTTAGCTGCCAGAGGAATTGATGCTTCTAATGTAGACCTTGTTATTAATTTTGAACCACCATTTGAATGGCAAACATATTTACATAGAATAGGTCGTGCGGGAAGATTTGGATCTTATGGCATGTCTATTACAATACTTAGTGAAGGAAAAGAAGAAACAAAATTTAAAGATATGTTGCATTTGTTAGAGATTCCTTTTCTAGATATAAATTCGATTGGGTGTAATGATAATATAGAGCAGACAGAAACTAATCTTCCACCCTTTGATAAAAGCAACAAAACAGATGATTTTTTCAAATATCAAGAGCTATGGAATGTCTTCACTGGTAGTAAAAAAGAAAATAATATCATAGAAAATTTTGAAACATTGTGTGAATCTTTTGAAGGTACTAAAACAGCAGTTGTGGAGTCTTTTGATGATTTGTTAAAATCATTTCAAGAAAAAGAAGTTCCTATAAAATCAAATGAATATCAACATTTGCAAATTACATCTGAAATAATTGATAAATTAAATGACACATTGAACATTCTAACGACTGCAAATGATACTAATGAAAATGAAACCGGTTCAGCAATGGAATTGAAAAGCAATGAAAATGTCAATAGTAATGTCAAATTGAATGATTTTGAGCCAAATCATTCAAGTGTCACCAATCTAAAGTTATTGAATAATTATTCAATTTTAAAAAAGACTAGTTCTTATGAGAATGAACCAAGCGCTTTCCATAAAAATGATACCAAAGCAATATCATCTACAAAAGCATTTATGAATGCTGGTCTTCCATTGACATTTGCTTCATCAAAAGACATTAAAAAGGGTGATTCAATTAAAAAGCAAAATAGGGCAACTGGCACAGAACATAAATCAGAAATATTTTACCATGAGGAACCAAGCCTTTCAAATGAAGTTAAAAAGTTTCCATCTATAAAAGCTAAAGAAAAGTATTCTCATGAGTTAAAGCAGATGAGTAACCAAAAATATGATGTTTCTAACAATGGAAGAAGAAAACCTAAAACTCAGCCTACACAATGTAAATTTGAGGAAACCGATTCTGATGACAGTGATTGTTATGTAAATGAAAATTATATTGATTGGTACAAAAAATTAAAATTTAGAATGAAACAAATTGAGTTAGCTGTATATGTAGAAGAAATGACTCATTTGTATGAGTGAATTATGTTAACAAGAAATGAAATTTAAAAATGTTTTTAGTCTTGTGAAATTATTTATTACATCAAATTCAAAATCTCACTTCACAAAAATAAACATAATAATATTACAACTATACAGTTATTTCAATAACCTATGGCAGCCAAAAACTCTAATAGAAAAACATTTCTTTAGATGTGGGATTTAATAACCTCAACTAGAACCACCTTTGTTCATTGGGTATCATCAGTTAACATTGCAAAATAATATATTTCATAATATTGTCAAATTATTTGCAGCCTATCTTTTGTTTTGATCAATTCTTACTTAATCACTTTACACATTTATCACAAACTGATTAGGCTCAATTTATATTGCTGCGGAATGGAATGAAACGGAAGCGTCAATTCTGCCTCATTGCGCGGACTCTCACTCACTCTCACTCATCACTTCCCGCGGATTCCACAGAATGCACCGACAGTCGCTAGAAAAATTCTCGAGATTGTGCGATTCCATGGGAGGCGCGAACCAATTTTTGGCTAGTAATAACTTTAAATGTTAACAATTGATATAAAGTCCATTATGATATGCACAATTTCGATCCAATACTCGGCGGTATAAATTGAGCCTTACAGACATGCTTTCCAGGCTAAAATATTTCCATGATCTATTGGTTGTTTACATAATACTTTGCTAATGATAATATTAATTAAATGAAAGTAAAATATTTATATGCTGTCCATATAATACAACAGGTCAAACATCTAACCAAACCTTTAAATGAAACTCTGGTCTAAAATCTGAAACAAGACATCAAAACTAGACACCAGTTCATGAAATGACAGCAAAATTCTGCAATCGATTTTGCAATTTGAACCAAGTAGTTAGGACTATTAAGGTTGAACATCGATCTGCTGTTTGTTCCTTCTATGTTTCAATAGATCACTGTATTTATTAGCATCATTTTTCAATACAGAGGAGTATTAACCATTTATGTAAATTATTAAAATAACTCGCAGAACGGTATATACCATCGCACGACGAGCATACGATTTTTCAGATGGGGTAGTAATACACAGTATATATTGGTACATGAGCGTAAATCGAAAGATATCAGTGTTAAATTCTTGCTCACTTAACATTTATAGATGTGTTTAAGGTTCCACTAATAGTAGACTACCACTTCCTCTATACCAAACGTAACATGCCAGCAATACTAGCCTGCCTCCCCCTAGCATGACCAGCGCTTTATGATGACTCGGTTTTTATCACGTTCAATTGTCAAATTACTATGGAGTTTGACAGTTAGACGCGATAAAAAACGTGGACAGGGACTGGATCAGGTGTTGTTTTTTCTAGTGAAATTTTCTTTATATTTATAAATCTAGCTATTCAATGCAATTTATCACATTCTACATATTATGGTTTTAATTGGAAGTGTTGATTACTTTCAACACAATGATACTGGAATAGGTAGTTTATTAAATTATGTGAATTGACGAGCTTTTTATTCTTATCTAATAGTTGTATGGTAAAATTTGAAAGTAGGAATTAAAACATAAAATTAAAAATACAAATAAGGTTCATAATTATTTGATCATTAATAACAAAGAGATCTGTAATTAAAATAAATTAAATAGGATGTAAAAAATATTGCGGCAGCTGATTAAAGGGGGTATTGTATATGGAAAATACTCAATTATACGAAAATTAAATAAATGACTTACTATTAAATTAATCCTAAAAAGGTATTGAGAAAGACCTGATTATTTTCATTAACACATTGTTAAAGTTTTTTCATTTAAGTAAATTAAATTGACATGAAGCTTCGAAACAGTAGTTGGCCATAATTCTTAAATTTTATTACATCTTTACTTCTTGCCATTTCAGCAGCTGCCCCGTTGTTTTGTACAACCTGAATAAAATAAAGCTTTTCTTACAATTTATTATGCAAATAATTCTATCATTCCGGCACTTCACATGGCTTTTCGTATTTCTTATTTTACATTTTGACAGGAAGTTGTCCTCATCATACTCTATAGGGAGCGGAAAGGAGAGACTTTTGTCAAGTTTACAAATAGCCAAGTAAGTGAAAGTAGTAAAGTGCTGGTATTTCAGACCCAGCTATATTTTCGGTAATAATAATAATACTCTTTAATAGATTAAAAATGAACGTAATATACAACAGCATAAAAGAAATAAGTACTTTTTACATCAAATAACAAACTTACATCAATTCATTTACATTTTTACTGTAGCATTCATTCAAATAAATCCTATAGACAAGATTAAAATCATAACTACTTAGTCCTTCTTCTCATGTGTTTCTGAAAAAAAATAAAACAATTTTATAGTTAACAAAATAATCAATTTAGAAAGTTTCGTCGTTAGAAAGTTAAAATGAAGTATGCTTTCTTTAATCATCGCAAAAACAAAATTTTGAAGTTCATCAATAAGTTGCGGACAGACGCCAATTCTTTCGTGCTTCGGAAAGCACGTTAAGCAAATGATCTCCACTGCATCTGCAGCCATTAGCACTTACCAATCCCAATGAGACCGCGTGTTGGGTCATGTCCCAATCATTCTATTCCATCCATAGGGAAGGCCTATGCCGCAGCAGTGGGGGGCATTTAATAGGCTAGTTACACCGAATAAGACATTATATGGAAACATTACCCTCTAACAAATGCCGCTAAAACATGCTTCTAAACTCATTCAAGATTTTTTTTTTATTAAATTTATTTTCTTTTGTTGTCATGAATATTGAAATATATTGAAAAAAAAGTAGTGTTGGAAAATATTGCTAGACAAAAAAAGACAACACTATAGTCTCGGTACTCGAAGGTATTGGAGTGACTGAGGAATAGTTATTATGCATTGTGCAGCCGCGGTCGCCGCCCTCGGATAAGAAGCTGCCGTGACATTATATTGACATTGAAATGTTACATTGAGCAAAAAGTTTTTATGCAATTTTGAACTGATTTATTAGCAAACTTATTCGTGTTTTTTTTTAAAATACATTATTATTGCTCAACCTACCACATTTTTGCTACAGACCGTTTTAACAACACTAAGTGGGCTGATAGATGTGTCAGTAATATATGTATAGTTTATTTACCTAGCACTTCTTCTTCTTCGGCATCTAAAATATCGGCGCAGCACACGGAATAGCAGATCAGTGAAAGAAATCCAAGCGGTAAGCCGAACACTAAGGCCGTCAGCACCGGATTCCCACGCCACATGTTCGTGAGAGTTGTACGCGCTTCAAAGAATCCTCTATAAATTCGTACAGGCCAACCGTTACCACCATATACCTGAAAATTATTGATGTGAAACATCTTTCCTCTCGCTTTCGTGCAATTTGTGGGAGTGATTACGTGAAGTGGGACGGAAGTGTGTAACAGGAAGTTTGATTTTAAAACATATTGTTCAAATGGCTTATTCCTTTTGTAGTAGGTTTTATTTCTTTTTTTACTAATATAAGGTGAGGTTTCAAATGTTACACCATCATACGCGACTACTGTAAGGCTCGCTCGATTTTTTTCTTAAAAATAGCTAATCTGTATTAGTATAGTATGTATTTTCCAACAGATGCGACACAAAAAATCGAACTGAGAAATGCAATGCTATGCATAATTATAACCCTTGCAAACATTTAAATTATAACAAAAAATATGTATCTGTTGTATTAGGTATACATAACATTAAGTTACCCAAAGTTGGTATCATATTTTGTCAGCCTACATAAAAGTGCCCCCCCCCCCCCCCCCCCCCCCGTTTTCGTTCTCCTCGAACTTTTTCCTTTGACTTCTACCATGATTTCATGAATTCAAAAATCATCATCGCATGTTATCAGTAACATGATTTTTGGGGGGGAAATAAAACAGGTGGAACAGTCCGTAACTCAATAAAAACTGGGATATTGTTTACCGGTGCAGTTTGTGTGTGAATTTGATCTAGGAAAATTAAAACAGCCTCAGGTGTCATTAGCACAGGATCGTCATCAGGTAAATGGTGATGGTTCGTGGTGGAGTTGAGCACTAGTAAGTTAGGCACTGTGAGTTCAGTCATCACAATTGAATTGGCCACGTCTGGAGTACCCATCCAGCCAAATTGGAAACGATGATGCAGGTCTCTCTTCTTCTTCCTTAAATACATTAGAATAATAATCATTAATACGTATAGATACAGTGCCGACTTTGACTTATTGGAGGCCCTGCGCATATTAGATCGCGGGCCCCTGGGCACTTGCCCATAGTGCCCACTGGGAAAGACGGGTCTGCGTAGGTATGATCACATAGAATATATTTACGTTTCAAAATTTGTAAACGGCAGCCTTAATGACATACACATTTCACTAGTTGGCCAGTAATGGTGATGGAGATGAATGGTATGGCGGTAAGACGAGCTACTACAGAGAGAAATGAAAAGAAAAATAGTACCTACTTGATGATTATTACAAAACAATAAATATGTATATTTTTATATTGACACTAGCTGACCCAGCGAACTTCGTACCGCCCTAAAAAAATAGGGGTTGTCCAGCGGACAAAATTGTGAATCTAAACCATTCTCAGATCCCCTTGAACACACACAAAAAATTTCATCAAAATCGGTCCAGTCGTTTAAGAGAAGTTCAGTGACATACACACTCACAGAAGAATTATATATATAAAGATATACATACATACTTCAAATACTAAATTGATTTAACTTTGTTAAACTAAATCACAAGATTTGTTTTTTCTTGCTTACTTAAAGGTTGTGTAACCATAGAGGTATAAGAATAGAGTGGGGAAGACGGCTCTAAAAGTGTCCGTTTAGCTAGTAGAAAGAAGATGAGAGACCGCTAGCTATCTCTCTCTTGTGACGCATGGCATCCAATGGCATCACATTGAAATAGTAAGATGCTTACGGTTGCCAATATGCTCATGCGCGATTAAAGAGAGAAAGCTAGCGGTTTCTCATCTTCTTTCTCTTTCTATTAAAGGGACACTTCCACTTGTAGTAGACTATATCTCCCCTACTCTATTCTTATACCTCTATGTGTGTAACTGTTCTTAAAGGATGAGTGCTGTGTCTGTGATACAGGTATTTTTAAAACCTAGTACAGACACAGAGAATACTACACTTCTGGACACATCTATTGGCCCACCTTAGAGTTTAGGTTTCGATGGCCCCTACCGAAATATGATTGCTAGATTGAACAAAAACTATTGATGCAGTTTTAAACCTGATACATTTTACCATCTTTTTCGATCGTATTGTTTTAAATTTGAATTCAGAATACCATGCGACATGGAGCTACGCCTAACAAGTCGGATATGCGCCTTGTTAAAGGCAATTGATTTTTGAATAAAAAACATGTTTTTATCAAATAAAGGTTTAATTTAATAACGCGTGTTGCCTCCATGGGCATCTACCACAGCTCTCATACGATTAGGCATAGAGTTTATCAACCGCTCTATGAAATTTTGAGGGATCATCTCCCATTCCTCTTCTATGGCAGTTTTGAACTCCTGCATCGTCTGGGCAACTGGCTGACGAGCCCTAACACGTCTTTTTAGCTCGTCCCACATGTGCTCAATGGGGTTCATGTCTGGGCTTCTGGCTGGCCAGTCCATAACTGTGATGTTCACATCCCGAAAATATTCCCTGACGATGCCGGCCGCATGGGCTCTTGCATTATCATGCATAAAAAGGAAATTTGGGCCCACATAGTCCGCGTATGGTATCACGTGAGGTTCTGAGCACTCACGGATGTACCTTTCAACATTTAATGTTGGCAGCCGTGGTCCTGTAACAACCTCAAGTTGAGTTTTGCCACTCGCGGATATACCGCCCCAGACAGTCCATGAGCCACCGCCATAAGCAACCCTCTCTTCAAAGCAGCATTGTGCGAAACGCTCTCCCTTACGTCGGTAGACCTTCTTCCTTCCATCATTGCCATGTAACACAATTTTAGACTCATCAGAAAAGAGTACACGGCTCCAATCTTGCTGTGTCCAATTTAAATGACTGCGTGCGAATTGAAGGCGCGCTGTTCGGTGGGCTCGCGTTAGTTTGGGCCCATTAGCTGGCTTGTGTGGTACTATATCGCGTTCTTTTAACCTTCTCCGAACAGTTGGAGCGCTCACAGATACTCCGTGGAAGTCGCGAATTTGTTTTTGTATCTCAATGGAGGTAAGGTGACGATTTCTCAAGCTGGTCGTCACGATGAATCGATCCTGCCTTTCAGTTGTGACCCGATATCGTGGCCTTCCTTGGCGACGAACAAAACCGCCAGTCTCTAGGTACCTCCGATAAACATTTCGGACCGCAGATCGACTTAAATTAAGTTGAGCACTCACGTTTCTTTGGCTGTGTCCGGCCTGAATAAGTGCCACAGCTTGGGCGGCGACTTCAGGTGAAGTATCCATAGATTATTGATAGAATCTCACCTTAATGTTAAAAATAAGTAATGTTTGTTGCAAAACCAAAGATATCAATCACTTTTTCAAGAATTAAATCCAAGTAAACCAATAAAACCAAGTTTTCTTAGTATTCGATTGTTTGATATCAACAAACAGGCTCCAAATTGTCTTTTGTTTCTTTAAATTCTGTGTTCGAAATTCAAAAAAAGACTATTGAATGAAAATGTGAATGTGCCAGGTTCAAAACTGCATAAAAACTTTTTGCTCGACCTAATATAAAATTTTAGCTAGGACCAAACGAAACTGAAAATACAGAAAATACAAGGTGGGCCAATAGACGTGTCCAGAAGTGTATAAGTACAATTCTTTCTATATACTTTTTTCTAAGCTATACTCTCTATTGTGTTGTACAATTCTTGTTAAACTGGCTTGTGAAATCAATATATTATTATACTCTCATTTATTTCATTTCACAGTTAGGTTTTTTATAAAATAGATATAAAAGTAAAATACAAAAACGTAAAAACAAAAATAAATATAGTATAAAAAACCTAACCTAGAAGGCCACCGGCAGCAGAGCTAGGCCCAAGCTACCGGTGGAGAGAAAGAAACCGCTTGACGATGCGCTTTGTGTCCAGGAGTACTGCCTTTTGCATCTGCCCCTTGACCCAACCATCATGCGAGAGGCTCTTTAGATATTAGATTTTCTCTTTAGCTCTTTATTATTATTATACTAAATTAGTAAATATTATCCTGTTAAACAACCATGACTTCTTAAATTGACCCAGTTCGACATTAATAAGCACTATCCATGAAAAAGTTTCTAAAGATTACACTTCACCGCCTCTTGCTTATTCCTGTGGGTGTCGTAACGGGCCTGCGGCGGTAAGCTTCCGAGGAGCGGCTGCTATGATATTTGGAGCCACCATCCGCTCTACTACTGGTTAAGCTCGCTTAACGGCTAATTGTATATAGTCACTGTACTCATGGTGAGATTTCCGTGATTTTACTCCACGAACCAACGGTATTAAATACCTTAGATAAACCACGTGCGCTCAAAATTTTACGAGCTTACATTTAAAGTGTCATGACACTTTCACGCATGCGTTTTAATTAAGACCTTATACAGTGTGCTTTAAAGGCGATTCTCATTATTTAAAATTGGTTATCATCATCTTACAGAGCTCTGTGGATCCTTCAATGTACTTTTTGGGCAGGTTTTGGGCATGATCTTGTTCGTGTTGGTGTATCTAGGGTATTTAATTTCGTTGCCACGAACACGTCAGCTAGTGTAGGTATAGGCTTGCGCAGACGAAGGACTTTTGTTCGTAGAGGACAAAAGTTTCATCAAACTTCCGCCATGGCGTAGACCATTTCTGAGCTATTTTCCCTTCCCCTTTCCTTCATAAGACCAAACTCTTGTTTACTCCTACCTAAATGGAGTTGGAGTTTTTCAAACCAGGTTGCACAAATGTTTTTATTCAAAACATTTGTGCAAGCTAGTTAGCTGCTGCACCTTCACTAGCACTTAACATCAGGATAAGGCATTAGAATAGCAAATTAAAAAAAAAATTTTTTTTTTGTTCCCTGAGTGTCTGGAGTCCATAATTTGAAGACACAGGTTTGATTGCCAGTGAAATTTATGTATAAATCACTACTTTCAAATTTCCTCAGTTCTGCCACTCAGAATGTGATATTATATCTCAATATCAAGGACGTATAAAAAAAGGCGGACAGAATTTCGGCTAAGACAAAAGTGAGGCACCGTAATGGCGGCGGTTATCTATGAGTGAGTGAATGCAGGGTTTCTAGGTTAGCCAATTTTTTACCAATAAAACACAGTAAAAAGATCAAAATATTTTAATTGTTCAAAATTTTACCCGACTGCGGTGGATAATGTTTTTCGAGCGTGTATGCATGTATGTATGCCCAATAATAAGGCGCCAAAATGAAACCTTTAGAAAAAAAATGCTTATAACCCGTCAAGCGAGGTATCAAAGTAAAGGGTCTTAAAAGAATGCAGTGGATCCCCGGTAGTCCGACAAACATTTTGCAGGGCAGTGTCGAACTATCGAATTTGTCGGATTATAGAGTACTGCCTAAGACCCCCGAATATATAGTCCGAATTTTTTTACAAAAGAGTACCTTGTAATCCGACAAATTACAGATCCAATGATAAGATTACAAAACATACTTTGTTATGTATGTCAAATTTAGTAAATTAAACAACACAATAGAAAGATTATGTTTTATTATAAAAGTAACGTCAAATGCTATAGAATTTACAAAAAAATATAAAAAACAATACCCTACGCGTCGAGCACAATTGTGATGGTGCGTACAAGTTGTAACTTGTTCAATCGTGAATTAGCGAATACTTGTATGTAATAGACGATGTCGGATTAGGGGGTGCCGCATTAGCCAGGGGCCGGATTACCGGGGCTCCACTGTATTTAGAAAATAGGTATGCAAATCGTGTACTTAAAAAAAATCGTGTTGCACTCGGGGACTGCCGCGGTAAAGCTATTGCATAGCATTATTTGTCAACTTATGCAATAATACTATTTATTTATGCAGTATTTTTTTTCTTTGATATTAATTCAAGTTTTTTCTCTGATATTATTAGATGGCGAGGCAGGCCTTATGATATTTTATTGGGCAAGCACAGCAAACAACAGCATTGCCCGGCGCCAAAAAACTTCCACATGCTCCACAGTTTACCACCTTTAGTCCAAAAATTATAATTATAAAGTCTAAATAAAAGGGAGACAAATAAAAATAAGAACAGGTGCTGGGGTCTAAAACAAATTATAAAAAATGGAAAAAAAATATAATAAAAAATAAAACACGAGTGCGGGATTTGAACCGACGACCGCGGTGATGCGTCGAACGTTGGTCCCGTGGCACAAATTTAACACACTGCACCGTTTCGATCGATACTGGAAAGGCGAAAATTGTGTTCATACGCACTGTTTTTAAGTTGGCATTGATCGAAATGTTTTTTTTAAATATTATCGTTAGTAATATTATTTATCGTTGAAAATATTTTAAAACTTTTGTTTCATTGTAGGTTTTTTTAAATAATCAAAGTTAATTCAAACTATTATATATAACAAATATTGACTTTTTTTATATTCCACTTTTTTTTCAACACTGAACTTAGCGCACTTTGCTGGTGCATTTGAAAACTAATTCACGTTCCAATTAACCATCAGCATAATTCGGCATTGGTAGCCACTGAGTCGCATTATGCTCTGTAATTGGAAAACTAACATGAAGTCTGTTTTTATTTTTGTATGAAAAAGTTTATATTTTCCACTTTTCATAAGCACCTAAATATGCCTGGCCAGGCCTGCATTCTTTTTTATATTTCTTAAATTAACAAAACATGCATTGAGTACTGTTTGTAATTGAGGAGTTCCATTGTTTCCCTCCGAAAATACTCATCAGCTCTGCACTTAATTAATACAGCCATCTCGCTAATAAACTGATCCAAACAAAAAAATAATCATCAAAATCGGTCCACGAATCTCGGAGATATGCACGAACAACAATTGAAAAAAAAAAATAACAAATATGACGTATAGAACCTCTTTCTTTTTGAAGTCGGTTAAAATTTTTAATTTACCTTTTGAGGTACTGCATGCGTAACAACACGCCGGAGTCCTCTTTTAGTAGTATATAAGTCTCCAGCTTCAAAATGGATACTGCAAATGACACTATATTTATTTGGAATCCATTCATCATCTCCGTTACAATTCCTAATAACTTGGATCCAGTCATTTCTCCATTCTACATTTTCTTTAGGGAATGTGATAAAAAAGAATAACAAATAATAGATTGAAGCTAATGTCACCCCAATTTCCCATATTTTAGGTAATATGGTTACGTGAACATTGACAACACTGGACTTTAGATTAATTATTTTGTGCTTAGAATGGAAATTGATTTCGATTTCTAAAAACTAGAAAAAAGTGATTATATTGTTCATTTACCTATGAAACGTGATTCCTGGATTTTTTTTCTTTCGGTCACTACGGTTTTTACACCATTTTACCATGCAAGACATCTTGTTTTAACTTATTTTTATCTCCACTTAACGTATCGGCTGCTTTGACGTTTGCACGCGTAATGGCTTACTATGGTGTGAATGTGTGTGTGCCGGCTTGTACATATAGCGACCTGGCCGACTCTGAGCGACACAGTTTGTTGTTTGCCGGGACTCTGTCCGCCTTTTTTTATACGTCCATGCTCAATATCTAATATAACATTATATTATGGGATATAATTTTTCACTGTCATGTTTAATGTCTTGTATGTCCTGTGAGGTGTATGTCAATAAAGAATATTATTAGCCTAGAAAGATTTCGACGCGGTCCGTGAGGGCCGCGGTAGCATAATTGGTCAGTGCATTCGCCCGGATTGCGAAGGGTGCGGGTTCGAGTCCCGTCTGCTGCCTGGTCCGCGTGGATTTTTTTCTAGTTATATTTTCTTTAGATTTAAACATCAAGCAGTTACATGCTTTAAAATAATAAAATTATAAGAATATTATTATTATTATTATTATGGCATGATTTCATTCCATTATGGTCACATTCTATTTATTATATATTGGAATATGCTACTTTATACACATAATACCTGTATGTAAGAAATTTTTATTAAATATAATTGCGACTCACTTGACAATTCCTTCCACCATATCCTTAAAATCCTGTTCAGTCTGTGTTATTTCATTCAGTTTATTTTCAGACACAATTACAATTACTATGTATTTTTCTGTGTCCAAGAGATCATTTATATTTGCTCTAGTAATTTTTGGAAAGAATCCAAATCTTTCTGAATTTATCCACTTATCTAATGTAACATTAACTGCTTCATTATCATCTAACAATTTTTGATTCTCTGTAAAATCACATATATTTATGTACTAACATATTTACCACTAAGAAGAAAAGCCATTATAGGCCTTTTCTTCGTAGTTCTAGATTGAATTATACATTCAATCACCAGAAATATTTTTTGTAAAATTATTACAAAAAATAAGTCATTATTTCAACGTAGATGACTTTGATGAAGTAGCTTCAAAATTACTTCTAGACAAATGTATTAAATTCAGCCACCTGATGATATGTTGTTGAACGTAGTTTTACAGTTCACAAAAGATTACTTTTACAGTATACAATGCCATATCTAAATCAGATTTTGTGCAAAAGTCCTGTTAAGACTTCATATTATGCTACAATATGACTGGAAGCACCTATATCCATGCAGAAACTTGATATTTCTCTAATAATGGATAAATTAAATATTGATTTATGTAAGCAATTTATATCAACTCTTTGGTCTAACACAAAAAGTATTATTGTTAAAAGACTCATTTTACAATTACTTAAACATTTCCAATATCCCAGAAATATAATAATATCAAATTTAACAACATTTAGATTTTCAGTAGTAAAAGTTACTTACCATCAAAGAAAAATATATCATCTTCCTTATAAACGAACACTGCAGTTTCATTAGGTGGTGTTATTTCTTGTTTTATGATATCATGCGACATTGTATAAAACCATGTATGAGGTTGATATTTTTGTGCATTAAATGTAAAACTTTCCTGTAAGATTTTAAAAGTTGTAATAAATATGTTCCGAAATTTTTTAACAAACATAACTACTGGATATTTATAAATTACCCATAAGGGACCTTGCTGTTTCCCTATGTAACCAAAGAATACTGGATGGGTTTCTTTTAAATACCCCAAGCTATCAGCTTGAGACACCTTTTGAATTGCAGGTTGAGACATTCTTAAGGCATAGTTAACCATGTCTTCTTTTACTCTGTCACCAGTGTATTCATGTTGAAAAGATCCTTTTAAGCTGTAAGATAAAAGTAATAATTTTTAAATAGAGTAAAAGTTCCTTATTCGCAGGGTATACATTCCAGAAATATGCTGCGAATACAGAAACCGTGAATATGGAGTGGTAATTTATATGAAATTATAGTGGGAAACGTTCCAAAGCTGCAAAATAAAAACAATATTTTTAATTAATCAATGAATTCAGTTATTTTTTGTCAAGCTTAGACAAGCATTTAAAGAACTGTTAATTTAAAAGGTAACACTGATATTTATCACATCAAACTAAATTTTTCTTTGTTGAAATTATAATTTACGAACACAGCGGAAGAGACGTGTTACTCGATCACAAATTTTTGGAATGAATGGAAAAAGAGGGGTGAATAAACTATAAAGGGGGTAAAAAAATAAAAAGACATGGCAGAGCGTCTAACTTACATACGTGATAGTATCATATGATATGATACTGATACATTTAACAAATTTTTTTTAGGCATAGAGTAATAAGTTTATTTACATAAACATTATACTGTTTGTTTACATTCTCAAACAGTGTCTCATATCAAAGAAAAGGCGAAACCATCTTATGCACCAGCTATAGCATTTGACAACATACCATAGACAGTTAAAATAACGTCTTATTTATTTTATAATTACATATCTGCCAATGCGTTAACAAAGTTTACCAAATCCATTATATTTTGATAAGATACGCGAATAACGAAATATTTTGCCATGAATATGGGAATTTAGTCGCATTATTTTAATCCGCAAATATTGAAAACGCGCAAACAAATAAGGAGCTTTTACTGCAGTATATAAATTTCTTAAACAGCGTTGATAAAAACAAGCTAAACTTACAACATAATTGTGGGGTAAGCTCTTATTTTAAAATGTGTGGCAACTGCTGTAAATCTAGTACAGTCTACTTTAGCCACTTTTATAGGGCTGTTATATAAATTCTGTGCAACATGGGCCCATATAGGCTCCAAACGGCGGCAATGAGCGCACCAAGGAGCATAAAACTTGACGAACCACATTCCATCATTACTGATATCAATGAATTTATCACTCAATTCCAAAACTCTAGATGAGGATACTTCACACAAGCCTGAAAACCAAATCGTTGAATGAACATAGAACAGCGGCAACATATGATAATAACAATTATTAAATCTAAACGCCAAACCGAACTTTATCAAATTCATTTCTCTTTAAATTCAATTAATAGTAACCTGCAAAAATAAATAAATATGTTCTGATATCCATATTGATGAGGCACAAAAAGAATTATTATCAAATTGTTGTCTTAAATCGAGCTTTTTATGCCAAGCGCTTGTTATTTAAACAAAGCATCAAAATTAAAATATTTAAAAATCGATAAAACCCGCAAAACACAAAAGCACCACAGCTACGTTCCAAACCTACGATCCATTTTCTGAGTGCAGCAAATGTCAAATTTTACATATGTTTTATACATTTTATGTCACATAATTGAAACGTCAGGGAAAATAGTTGCACTCCAGTTGTAGGTTTGGAACGTAGCTCAAAACAACTCTAGTCTGTGTTCCGTACCACGCACCACAGGATATACTTAATTAATTCTAAGGGTACGGCCAGAGTGCACTCAGATTCAGACTCAGAAAGCAGGCTCGTGAGATGTCAGCTTGAGGAAAGCAGGTGATGGCCACAGTGGAGACAGATAATACAAGACGCGGACGCGGCCACTGTTGCCAGGTTGGGGGGGGGGGGGGGGGGGGAAGAAATTAAGTTTTGGGGAAACGGGGGTTCTCTTTATTACATTTTTATATAAAAATAAAACCACTTCATAAACTTTTAACCTGTAAAACGTCGCAATCGACAATCATTCAACAGTCTCTCTTTCTCATTCGACGCGTTCGAAGCTGTTGATACAGAAACTTAAATAGGGGGGTGTTTTCGCAGTTGTAAACATGGAGGAGTTTTCTAATGAAGATCTAGCATGCTTGTTAATGGCTACTGATAGTTGTCATTATAAATTAAAACGTGAGAGAATCGGTTTTCACAAATTAATAGATTAAGGAGTAAATATGGGGAATACCACCATTTGTTTCCCCAATTAAAAGTCGATAGGAAACGTTTCTTCCAATATTTTAGGATGGAACTAGAAACGTTCTTCTACAATTTAAAAAAAATTGAACCTCACATGATGAAGAATTAGTGTAATTTGCACAAACACAAGATTCTTCCAGAAGAACGCCTTGTTATAACCATTAGGTAAGAATTTATTACAATCTCACTAATCCGGATTTGATGGGACCAGACTGTCCGGATTAACCGGAAAGCTGGGTCTGGATTCGCGAGGGTAGTGTAATTTGATTAATATGTATGGTTTATATTATATATAGGAACAATACATTAATAATACAAAAAAACACTATGTAAATGGAATTATTTTTAATGATAAATATTTTTTTTAATATATAATGAGTTTTGCATATCTAGGTTAAACTTTAAAATATTAAAGTAAATATTATCACTAAAAATTATAAACATAGATAATGACTAATAATTTAGCAGTTTTGTTTATTATAAGACTTTATATATGTTTGCTCTAGGAACTTGAAATTACAATCACAGCTTTTAATTTACAGTTTACTGTATTATCACAAATCTTATATTTATATAATCCACATAATTAGTGTACAAAATTATGGCCAACTATAAAAATAAAGACAATTTTGGGTTGGCAACCCTACCTGCAGTCCGAGCGGCGCTGGTGAATTCAGAATCTGAATGACCTAAACATTCCAGTAAAGTGTCTGACTCCGAAACCTGCGCGGCCTGCTGCCACTATGGCCACCCTGCTTTAACTACACTGTTTATTTCTCGCGCTTGTTTTCTGAGTCTGAATCTGAATCTGAACCTGAGTGCACTCTGGGTACCCTCTGACTCCGAAACCTGCGCGGCCTGCTGCCACTATGGCCACCCTGCTTTAACAACACTGTTTATTTCTCGCGCTTGTTTTCTGAGTCTGAATCTGAGTGCACTCTGGCCGTACCCTAAGGGTGCGGCCAGAGTGCACTCAGATTCAGATTCAGATTCTGAAAACAAGCGCGAGAAATAAACAGTGTGATCGAAGGGTACGGCCAGAGTGCACTCCTGATTCAGATTCAGATTCAGACTCAGAAAACAAGCGCGAGAAATAAACAGTGTAGTCTAAGCAGGTTCGAGTTTTTTTCATTATTAATTTGCAGTGTCTGAGAACATTTACCATAGTAGTGTATATTTTTTTATACCATCAGAAAGTAGACAAAAAACACACCAACTTATTAAAAAAAGCAGATATTTTGACGTGAGAATTTTCGATTGAAAATTAGGGTGCTCTTTCGATATTAAGTCAAAATAAGTTGAAAAAATCAATATTTTAAATCAAAAAAATTACTGTATGTTTAGGACATACAATGGTAAGTTTTCACTAAATTTAGTGAAAAAATATTTTTTTTTGCAAAAAATAAAAAACCAAAAACTCGGTTATTCGAATTTTTCACATAAATTTTGTGGTTATGTGAAAAAAGTGTTGATACAAAAGTTGTAGATCGATTCTGGCGTGATTCTCTTAACTTAAAACTAAATTTAACATCAGTCTGTCATTTTGATTCTATATAGAGAATGACAAGCATACTCTGTTGTCAAATTTAAGTTTAGATTTAGAGAATCATGCCAGAATCGACATCATTGGTGTCTATTCTAGCATGATTCTCTAAACTTAAAGCTAAATTTAACATCATGGATTGATGATTTCTATTCTGTATAGAGAATGACAAGGATACACTGCTGTCAAATTTAAGTTTAGGTTTAGAGAATCCTGTCAGAATCGACATCATTGAAAGTGAAGTGCCAGAATCGACATAATTGATAGTGATGACGAAAAGAGAATGAAATGAATAAATGGTATTTTAATTAGGTACTGGAAAACGTTCAACCAGATTTAAATAAGTGCATCTGCCGATATAAATAGCAGGTTTACAAAATATATACCGATCGATAGATTTCATAAAAAAAACAATTTAATCACTAAACAGATGCGTGATTATACCGTTTTGTTCGCCAGCTCCTCAAGTATTAGAGATACAAATAAACTTTTTGATAGATATTCATAAATTATAAACAAACATTTTGTTAATTCATTAAGAACTGTTCATTCAAATATCGTTCATTCTTTTAATCTCCCAGCCCTAATTTTTGTGTTGGTACGCCTAAACACGTACGGCTTTTGATATACCACGCTGTTGGGGCAATCGGCTTGTCTCTACATTCAAACCAGCTATTTAGTGTTCCGATATTTATTGAGATAAACACATACGTTGATAAAATGGTCCCAGTATTATCAATAAATCAATATCAGTATGCTTTTCAAAGTCAAGAGCTGAGTACGCGTTTGTGTGCGCTTTTGTTACGTTTTTTAATTAAATTTACATAATTTTGCTTACATTTTCGTGGTCAATAATTTTCCAATGCGTTTGTTGTGTGTATAAATGAAATACTGTTAATACATAGATACTTATGAAAATAGTAGCTATTTATTTTATAATAAGATTTACTAATTGTAGATTATTCCAATAAAGAAAAGTATTATTGTATTCGTTTATTTAGAACTCCAATCACAATATTACAATACGTATGCTAGATATTACTTTTAGATTTTTCCACGTGTCGTACACCATTATTTATTACAGCTTCACCGACTGACTTTTTTACAGGGTTGCCATCATAGTAATGTGGCCATAACAAAACTCTACAATCTCTTTCTTTCTTCATGAATGCAATGGAATCTTAATACTTATCAAATCACATAATAATTGTATACAGGAAATACGACTATATAACTTATCCTTAGCGTCTTAATTAATACAACTTCCCAAATTAATCAATCTAATTTTATATGAGCAAATTTGAAGTTAATTTATTTATCTAATTAACATCAACATAAAATCCAATTCTTGATCATCAAAACTTCACAAATAAATCAATCTAATTCTATATGAGCAAACTTATATTATTTATCATATAAACATAATAATTAACATCAATAAAATCAATTTGACAATATCTAAGAGAGAGATATACATAATATCTCTTTCTTGTTAAAATTAGCATAATGTGTAAGAAACTAGAAATTCATACAATCTAGTATAAGCCCTAAAACAAAGTCTTTATATTTAGGAGGTACCCTTCTCTCTCTCAAGGTTTTACCAATTTGTTTAGACATGTCAGTGTGGTTAGAGTCAAAAGTCACGTCAGATGTACTAGGTTCTGTATGAGTAGAAAATGACGGATGTTCATCATCAAGCAAGTCCTCTCCTTTGAAGTTATCACTACTGTCATCAGTATTTTGTATCTCTCCTTCCCCTTTATTGCTGAATCTTCTCATATCTCTTTCTTTTATAGGTTGAAAAAAGGAAGAATTTCTTTTTACAATTCTACCATCGGGTGACTGTGCTGCTATAGAGTTGCCAGATTTCCATATTACCGTGTGTTCAGTTGGAGAAAAGGGTGTTGATAACTTATTTTCTTTCTTTTGTTTTAGTAAAACCTTATCACCAGGGCTAATGTCTGAAATTTTTGCATGTCTTTTTTTATCAGCATAAAGCTTTTGTAAATATTTTTTGTACCTGTCTCTATCTCTTATACCTTCATCGTCATAATTGAAATTTAGTATCAGCTGAGGAATTTTTGTCTTTATAGGTCTTCCTCTAAACATATCTCCAGGAGGTACACCAGTAGTAGAATGTGGTGTTGTACGGTAAGCTGACAAGTATACTAACAGCTCTTGCTTCCAATCAGATTTTAGACCTTGAGCGATTCTCAACCTTCTTAGCACACTCCTATTTTGTCTCTCAACCTCACCATTGGCTTGAGGCCATAGAGGAGTTGTATGCCTCAATCGAATACCATTACATTTCAGAAATTTTTCAAATCTTTGATCAATAAATGCTGGTCCATTGTCACATACCACTGTATCCATAATGCCTTCTCGTGCAATAATAGTAGATATTGCTTTAATAGCATTTTCAGCTGTAGGATTTTTAAATATCTCCACTTCATAATACCTACTATAGTAGTCCACAACAAATAATAAGTAATGACCTGATGGTAATGGCCCCAAATAATCTATAGCTACAAGTTCCCATACTCTACTTGGCAACTCAGTAGAAATAATAGGTTCAGGTTGCATATCCTTTCTTACTAAGCGACATCCTTTACATGTATCTATCCAATATTCTATGTCCTTATCCATTCCACCCCACCATACTTTGGATCTTAATTTACTTTTCATACCGTTAATAGATATGTGTCCCTCATGTCCAGCTTCTAATATTCTAGCAGTTAACTCCTTGGGTATAATAATCCTCATTCCTCTCAATATAATGTTATTAAAAATAGATAGCTCAGATTTAATCAATTCATACTTTCTCAATTCTTTAGACCATAAATCATTTTCTATTGCATGCCTCAATTTGGTCAATTCCGTGTCGTTTAACGTAGCTTGTTCAATTTCTTCTATAGTAACTGCATCCATATTTGTTTC